CAAGAAATTATAAATTAATTTTTTAGTTAAAAAATTTCTTTAAAATTGTCTATTTTTAGCTTATAAGCAAACTAAAAGTTTTGTCTTATAATATAAATACAAATATTGCAAAAATATAATCTTTATTTTCAAATATTATTATGTTAAATTTTATTTAAATATTTTAAATAATTAAAAAAGTAGATCAGTGATATATTTATAGTAATTATGCAGGCAAATTTGCCTGCAAATTTCTATCAATTAAGGGATAATAATAGTTTATTTATTTATATGTATCACTATGCATATTACTATATATTATATTATATATAGAATGTAGCCCGAAAATTAGCAAGTAATTTATTTCATAATCATGAGCAAATTAGTAATAAACAAATAAAGAATTGGCTTAAAGCATTGTTGAAAAAAGATAAAGAATGTTCAGAAAAACTACAAAAATTAAAAGACAAAGGGGTGTTGTTTAACAAATTTTGGAGTAAAAAACTTTATTCCAAAGTACAAATTTTACTTATTAGAATTGCAAGTTTACTCTTGTGAATTTTTTACTATTTTTCCTTTTCTCCTTCTTCCTGTTCTTTTCTTTTATTTTTATTTTTATTTTCTTATTTTTTCATTCATTCATTTTTTTTTCTTTCTTTTTTGTCTTTTTTTCCCTTTTCTACTTTTTTACTAAATATTTATTATATTTTATTTATTTAATTTATACAAATGCTTGTAGCAATTCAGCTTAAAAAGGGTATTATATTCATCGTGTAAAAAAAGGTTTATGGAGCACCTTTGGTGTTAATCAAATAAAACTGTTTAGCGAAAAAGACTCTAAAGTGCAAATGTTAGAATGGAAAAAAATTCTAAAAAGGCGTACAATAACTTATACAACCCTTGTGATCTAGATAATCTGAATTCTGAGTTTTTGATGATGAACATACTAATGCTATATTTGATGAAGATTATGTTTCTCCTAAGATCGATGCAGATTATGTTGATACATGGATTCAGAAGCTATCAAATAATAAGAATGTATGTAAACTGTTTATTAATAATCTTATTAATTTTTTGAACATATTTTATTTATTTATTTTATTTTTTTTAGAATACTGGTTTGTAATAAGTTCTTCTGTGATATCAGAAGCAGAATTGTTAAATGTAATTCAAGAAAATTATCTTCAAATAGTGCTAACAATAATGAAAGCAATTATGATAGCGATGGTAATTATGAAAAAGAATAAGCCCCAAGTATTTCATATACTTATATTTGTTGTAAAATGCAAAAACGATTTGAAATATACATGTATTTAGTATTAGTCCTAGATTTTGCTATTGCTTAATGTATTTTTTTTTAATTAACTCTAGGTCAATGACTTAGGGGTGCTGGTGGCACTCTTTATTAATGTTGCTTATATTTATTATACAATGCTTAAGAATTTATACATGTTTTGAATTTTAATTGAGCTACTTTTGATTAAGTTAGAATGTAATAATCAAATCTCTTTACAGATTTGTTTGCTTATAATGGTTTCTAATGTTGAAATCAATCTAGCATTCTCTCTCCATTTTGCTGAAGTGTACCAATACCAACTTTCGTAGATTGTAATAATATGAAGCCAAAGGGCTGCTGTATGGTAGCTAAAGTCTTTGATATTCGAAGCCCCGAATATTTTCCCTATTGTGGTTTAAGTATCTGTATACTATTCTCCAGATCTCATTGCTAATTTGGCACTGGATTGTGAAGTGTTCTATTGTTTGTCGTACATCAGCACACCAAAGGCAGTTCCCTGTATCAGTTAAATTTATATGTCAGAGCCTGTAGCCAAGTGGAAGAAAGGGCCTTATGAAGAAGGCACCAAAAAATGTCCTTTTTTTTGTTGTCTATCTTTTTAATTGTAAGCCATTTCAAATAATCTTGTTGCTTAGATATGTAAGTGGTAAGTGCTAGTGGTGAAGCTTTACATAGAAAGTCCAGCAGACTTTTAACTGAAAATTCACTCTCTTTTATTCTTCCTATCCAAAAGTCTTCCTTGTCCCAGGGCCAATTTGAACTAGCTTTAATGGTACCATTTGCATTTTTCCAAACTGCCAAGAATTGTTTCCATTCTGTTGGCCAGGCTCTGGAACTAATATTAGGTGCTTGAAGAGCTTGTAGTACTAAGATTTCTTGTTTATCTTTTAGAATTGAATCTATTCTATCTCTTTCATATCTAGTCCAAAATAAGCCCAAGGTAAGTAAGTAGTTTTAGCCAAACTGAAGCCAAATGTGCATCCAACATATCTCCAACTACAGGAGCTTGCAAACCTGCCTGTTCATATGACTATTGAAATACTGAATACCTAGGTAGCATTCTAGAGTTTCCTTTAATCCAGAGTGTTATAATCCCATTAATCTCTAAAATTTGTTTCTTATTAGGAGGAAGTAGATATGCGGAATACCAAATTTTGGATAGAATTAAAGCTTTTGCTAGTAGAATCTTTCCTTTGAAGAAAAAGTTTCTATTGACTAGTTTTTCTAATGCTTTTTTCAGTTTATCGATTGTTGCAGAACATAGATTTTTTTCCAGGTAGCCATTTGATGACACATTGTATCCTAAAATGAAGATAGTTTCTTGATTCATAATTTTGTGGAAGAGGGCTTCGTCTGGGAGCTCCACTTTATGTGCAATGTCTGTAAGTGGGACCAGTTTTGTTTTTGTTCTATTGACTCTTGCATCAGATGCTGATTCATATATCTCAAATATTTGTTTTAAGGTAAGTCAATCTGATAAAGAGCCTATACCAATTGTCAGATCATCAGCATAGGCTGAGAGTTTGAATACCTGCTTGCCTAGAATAATTCCTTGTAATTTTCTTTTCAGAGTGATTAATAGTGTTCAAAGACAAGCCGGCTTATCATGGCTTGCTGCGGCTTAATGCAGCTTATCACATGATAAATTCAAAGTTATCACCAAGCCATATAATAATCGTAAAAATAACACGTGATAAATCGAAGATATCACATAGCTTGGTGATAAATTCGAATTTATCACGTGATAAGCCGCATTAAGCCGCAGCAAGCCGTGATAAGCCAGCTTATCTTTGAACACTAGTGATTAATAAGGGTTCAGGACTCTCTGCCTAACCCCCTTTCAACTCTAAATAGTCGTGATATGTTGTTTTCTTCGATTATATGTGCTTCTTGGCTTTTGAAAAGATTTCTAACTAACTCAACAAATTTGTTGTTAAAGTTCATTCTTTTTAAAACAAGTTCCAGAAAGTTATGGTTTACTTGATCGAAAGCCTTTTGTTGGTCAAAGAGTATCCAATGTTGTTTATAATTGTCTGGTTGGTTTCTTATGACTGTTATGATATCCAATGTGGAGTCTGTTATTACTCTATTTTTGACAAAACCTTGCTGATGACTTGGAACAACTTTCTCGCATATTATGTTAAGGCAGTTGGCAAGGATTTTCATAAATATCTTAGCATCTGAATTCACCAAAGATATAGGTTTCCAGTTGTTAATATCATTTAGACCATCACCTTTCTTTGGTATCAAAGTGATTAGACTTTTATACCAAGATGTGAGTATATTTCCAGATGAGAGAACCATGTTGAAAACTTTGTATAGTACCAGGACCACAACTAACTCGCTAGACTTGTAGAACTTATAGGTCAATCCATCAGATCCCAGGATTTGTTGTTTGGGAGGCTTCTTATTACGTTCCTTATTTCTTCTTTAGATATTTCCTGGATCAAACTTTTATTTTGAAAGTCAGAGATCTGTGGAAGGTTACTGGTAATCTCCAACATTGCTTCCAAATTTGTATTTTCTTGTTAGTAAATTTCCGCATATTTATTTCTAATGTAGAGAAGGATGCTCTTTTCGCTTTGCATTGTTAACATAGGATCTTTTATTTTTTGTAATGCTGAACGGGCTTTTCTTATCTTATATCTAGAAAAGAAATATCTGGTTGATTTTTCTCCTTGTTCGATCCATTGAGTCTTTGATCATGTCTGCCACTTGTCTGCTAGTTAACTTACTTTTTCCTGCAATTGGCTGCTCAGGTCCTCAATTTGAGATCATAGATTCATATTTGACAAGTTGTTTGCTATTTTTTCTTTCATTTGGGTTATCTTTTTGTTTATTTCGGAGATTTTAGTTTCTGGAACTTTCGATTTCCTAAATGCCCTTATTATCGATTGAATATGCACTTTATATAGGTCCCAGTCGTTTGGATCATTTGTTTCTTGAATTTCTTCAAGAATTTTCTTTTCTAATTTGTCATTTTTCAGGCAGTTTTTGTCGAATCTCTATAATGAAGACCCTCGTTTTAGGGTTAAAACTTAGTTTATATTCTACTAAGAGATGATCTGAGTTCCCAAATTTTGTGTTAGACTCTGAGATTAGGTAAGCGTGACTCTTATCTATAAAAATGTAGTCTAAGTGCGTAGCTATAGAGCAGTTTCCTTGGGTTCTTTGAAAGAATGTCAAGAAGGGTCTGGTTTTTGAAAACTCTGAAGTGTCAATAAAGTTCTTGGTAATGTCCTCTAGCTGTTGCCTTGTTGGGTCACGTTGAGCTGCAACCTCACTTATTCTACCTCTTTCTGGATAAAGATTAGTGTTGAAGTCTCCTGTGACTATATTAATAACATTGTCTTTTGTCTGTAGTGACCAATTGTTAAAAAAGGTTACTCTATTCCCTGCACTTGGGAGAGCATACATATTAGTAACCTAGAAGGTTTGACCCTTCCATTCGAAGCTTGCTACAATGACTCTGCCCTCGTGTTCTATTTTAATATTCTTGAAAATGATATTTCTATTACTAGCCAGAATTGCTGTCTTATCTGACCATATCGAGTCAAACATCTATTGATGCTGCAAAAAGTTCCTAGTGTTCCTATTATTCAAGTTTGTCTCTTGTAACATTATGAGGTCTAATTTATATGTTTTTAGAAGAGCTAAGGACTTCTGTCATTTCTGTGGGTCGTTTAAACCTTTTATGTTCAATGTTGCTAATTTAAATATAGATTTTCTAGTCATATAATTAAAAGAAAGTTATATTGCTGCATTTTAAGCCCCCTAACGAGACTTTTTATAGGGTGCCTTTTTTTCCCTTATTCTTTTTATGATTTACTATAATGAACCCGTTGTCATCATTATTGCCCTGAAGAGGAAGTTGATTTTCCCTGATATAGAAGAGTCAAGTGTGATAACTGTGATCTTATCTCTTGGAAGATGTTCTATTTTTTGGTTTGTGCATTACTAACTTCGTTAGATACTGACATTAATAGTTTGAGAGGGGGAGATATGTTCTTTTCCCCTTCCTTAGGAGTGAAATTCTTTTCGACCTTGCTATAAGATTGTGAGAGCAAGTCATCATCATTTTTATTCAGTACTATGTTTGTAGTCACATCCTTATTAAGTAGTAAGTTTGAATTTATCGTTTCAGGCTTTGTAATTTTCTGGATATTTTTGGTTCTGTTTTGTTCTGGAATGAGGGGTATTGAAGGTGCTTGAAGTTCATTATTTTTCTTGTTTAAAAATTTATGATAATGTTTTTGGAGAGATATTGCCGTTCGCAGTCTCTTTTTATGTAGCCTTCTCTATTGCAAAAGTAGCAGGCTTTGGATGCCGATTTCTATTTGGTAGTAATTTTATTATCCCATAGTATATAAAATCTAGGGATTCTTTTTTCTAAGTTAGGGTCTTCAGTTGTCTTAAAAGTAATGATCCACTAGTCGGTGAGGTAAGGTGTGCCTTCAATTAAAAGAGGTTTAATTAAGGCAATTTTGTCCACACCTTTGAATGTCTCTTCTATTGCCTTAGAGATATCTGCTTTATTTCCTAAAGAGACATTTCTATTCTTAATAGGAAGGAATGACTTTCTTGTGTCAGTTGGGATAAACCCAAAGTATGTCTTGTTGAAAATGTTAATACCATTAACTGTGTAGTGTTTAAGTTCTTCTTTGTTGACGAATATTAATTCCAAATACGTTCTAGAACCTTTTTTCATATGAGGTTTGGCTGCTACTATGTCCTGTCCCACTTCCTTAAAAATTTTAATCATAATTTCATGAATATCTATTATAAGGGTGTTGTCATTTTTAGACTTAATAGTTGCCCTAGGAGAAAATGAAATAAAGATAGAACGGCCTCTCTTCAGTTTTACAAATAAGTTAGACCATTGTTTTGGTGTATGATTGCTGTTCTCAGACCTAGTTGCTGATGTGTTTCCGCCAATGTTTTGATTTTCTGACAGGTCTGTTTTATCTAATGGTTCCTGCTTTTGAGTAAGCATTGAGGTTCCTATTTCCTTATTAACTTGTTCTTCCCAGCTTGCCTGGTAAGCTTGAGTCAATTGATATATCTCATTATTTATTAAAGGCTTATTCTGATTTGTTTCTAATGCGTTGTTGGCTTCCATGTTGTTTTCCTGCATTTTTCTGTTTTTATTTTTTTTGTATTAGTTAAGTACAATTGTGTCTTGTAGACTTTCATTTCCTTGGTACAAGAGCTACTACCCTTGTTCTAGGTTCTCTATTTAAGTTTTGTAATACACTTTTTGACAGTTTATGATTTTTAGAACAATAACCCTTTCTTGAAACTTATGGTTCGGGAAAGAGTTTATGAAGATCTTTTAAAATGCTTATTTTAATTACACTTACTATTATAATTATTGCAATGGTGGAATAAGAGGTTGCTTAATGTATTAAAAAATACATATTATAATAAATGATATTGTGCTTAACATAATAATACATATTTTAAAATAGCATTAGCTAATAAATTAAGTTGATTAGGACCCCGGACATCTCTTATATAGGTCATAACTGATCTGCGTAAATTTGGGGGTTTTCGCTACCTCTAAAATCAAGTGAATTCGCTAAAAATTCAATATGATATATAAATTTTATAATAATTCGCTAAAAATTCAATTATAACATATATATTTATAAAAAAAAATAAATTTAGATATATTTTTGAGTGCTGAAAAAGTTTACTTAGAACATAAAGTTATAATCAATTAGTAAAATTTTGAGAATTATAGCATTTTTTAGTATTTTTATTAATAAAATTATATAAAATATTAAGATTCTCAAAATTTTAC